AAGAATGTCCTTCTATTATTACTAATATTGTTTTTAATGATTGTAATGCTTTTACTTATTAATGGAACCCTTAAGCCTTTTAAAATAAATATTTTTTTGTCACTCAATCGTTAATCTCTAATAACATTCTGGCATTGCCACATCAATTGACCATATATAAAAGTAAAATATATTTTTTTATTTTTTCCCTTCTCTCTCCTCCTATTCTCTATTTTCTTTTTCTTTTTTTTTCAAATAAAATTCAAAACTTAGCAATAACCATAAAAAAAATCCAAAGAAACTTAGTTTTTGACCAGTATCGATCGTGTCGGCCATCATTGCCACCATCGATTGCTATTGTTCATTGATGTCGAAAAAGTTCCCAAAAATCCTAAAAAACTTCTCTTAATCTCCTAATCACTTTTATCTAATTAGTTTATACTAAATAAGTCCCAAAAAGCCTAGATTTAGAATTAAAAGCCACAGCCTAAAACTTAAGATAGAGCAAATGGTTAGTTTGGCTAATTCGATTTTAAAATTTCAAAAATTAACTTAACCGATTTAATTTATATAAAAATCAAATTATCTTCTTTTTAAAGCTTATCTTCTTTTTAGAAACCTTTACACCATCCATAACGACATTAAAAACAACAAATTAGCAAAACCACCTTGCTTAATCTCCAGAAACAAGAGCATCCTATTCAATAACTAACAGCCATGACAAAAATATCAAAAGACTTGTAAATGACCATGACTAAAATACACTAAACAAATCACAAGTCTAAAATTATCAGCAAGAGATTGAAAATAAATAAACGGATAACATCTACATACAAGTTAAAAAAACTAATGCAACTAAAAAATATTCAAAGTTTTATCTTTTTTCCTTAGAGATATTTAAAATTTCACATCCAGGAAAAGAAATTTTAACTTTTACCTAAAAAAACGAGTTGCAACTAAGGTAAAAACAATTGCATGATTGGACAAAGCAAAAGCATTTTCCAAGAACCAATCAAAAGAAAAATTGAAAAAAAAAAGAATCTTAATAGTTTTTGGCGTTCGTGAAGTATTAGGAGAGCCAAGTGTAGATTAGTGAAGAAGAAAGTACAAACCCTAGAAATTATAAGGACAAAGGTTTAGGTGCTTTGGAGTTTAAATCTCGATAAAGAGAGAGAAAATAAAAGAGAAAAGAAACTTAAGTGATAATAAGAATTGAGAGAGGTGTGAGGGAGAGAAACTGAGGAAATGGGAATAGTCGCATAGAGATTTTAGATTTTAGGTTTCATAAATGGGTATTAGGTAAGGATAAGTGGATATTTCTATTAAATATTTAATTATTAAAAATCAATTTTTTTTATTTAATTTGTAAGATTCAAAATCATAAACTGACTGATTAAATTATCTAAACTGCTCCTTAAACCGATTAAATAAAAAAAGTGAATCGATTTAATTCAATGATTAATTTTAAATCGATTATCGATTTAAACCGCTCACCCTTACTAAAACCTTTAAAAAAAAAAACCAACTTTCGTCATTTCAAAGGACACTACAGCTTAATATGTCTATGCCCTCATTTTAGCTTTCCTCTCTTTCAAATCTCGAGTCCCAAAACCCTTTGAAACACCTTAAACAAAACCTTTTCTTCTATTTTTTTAATTTTTAATTTTTTTCCCTCAAAGGGAATGATGTTGGGTTTGAGGAAGGATTGGAATAGTTATTCATAGATTTAGCTTTCTACGTTGCCTTCAAGTGAAGTTCGAGAAAATGGTTCTCGAATACGAAGCTTTTACAATGGTTTATTTTGGCAGGCTTTTGTTCCATGCATGCTCATTAGGTATAAGTTTCGTCAAAGATTGGATCGTACATGTTTTCAATAAATTAAATGTACGGGGCTTCCATGACAAGAGTCTTCCAAAGAAGGCATTATTGTATGGGTCAAATTGTACAATCCAAATATTGTTCTTTGGTTTTCACTGTTGCCCGCCGGTAACAGATCTGGCTATCTGCGTTGAATTGAATTGCATAAGAGAGGAAGCAGAAAGAGGAAAATATATTTTTATTTTTAAAAATTATTTTATTTTTTTTAGTGTCACATCATTTTTAATTAGTGATAGTTTTAATGACGTGAATATGTCATGTGGTCATTAATATTATACGGGCATCTTCCATCAGCGTTTTATAAGAAATTAATAGTTGAATGACAAAGAAAATTTATTCAAATATTAGTGATTAAATAAAAAATTTTAATAGTTTAATTATTATTTTAAAAACATGCATATAATTGAGTGATTATTAATGTATTTTATTTTAAAATTTATATTCATTTATTAAAATTATTTTTATAAAAAATATAAATATTATTAAATAATAAAAGAGAAAACACGAACAATTTGAATACAAAAAATTTATATTTACTTTGTTTCTTATTTATTTTTCTTTTTCCATCTTTGCACGGTATTTCGTGTAGCTAACTTTCAATTAGGTTTCATTTGAAATTTTGAATGTTTTGTTAGTCTAGTGTAATGCAATTAGGACCCCTAACTATAATGGGTAACCATTTGGATATCATGGTTCTTGCACGATGGAGCCATTTCCATCATGTGCAACCATGGTCAGTGATTGAATCTTTATTTTGTTTTTTTTTTTTCAATTTTTTATTTATAGATTTTTAATTAATTAATTAATTAAAGTAATACATAAATTTATATAATTACATAATAAAAAATGCAATTAATTTATGTATTTAAGTAAAATTTGAAATTTAATATCTTTATTTTAATTCATACAAATTGAAATTTTTTTATTTTAATAATTTGTTATGATGGTCCAATAGTTAATAATATTAAATTTTTCTTAAGATTGGTGATATGATATTGATTTTACTAACATGTTTTTCGTTAAATTGATAAATTTTTGAATAATTTCAAAATTAAAAAAATATGATACGGAATTTTTATAATAATATACTATGAAGCGGCGTCATTTTGACACCAATTTCTTTTTTATAAAAAAATAAAGATTTTTACTGTTTTTACCCAAAACAAAAGCATTTTAAAATAATTTTAAAATTAAAACAAAAGTAAAATCCAAACCTCAGAATTCTAATGAAATCAAAATCATCAAATTTCACAAAAAAATTAGCAATAAAAATACTATATTTATATCCAAAGCACCAAGAACTGTTAAATCACAAACAATATTCAAAGCATCAAATTAAACTCTTAAATCAAAATAAAAAAAAAAATCGATTCCAAAATACGATTTCCATAGCATAAACGGCAAACCCCCTGTTCTAGAATATCAATTGATTCAATTCCAAAATAATAACAATAAAAAAAAATTCACTATTAAATTTATTTCTATTATTTTTTTTATTCATTTTCTTTTACCTCCTACACAGACATCAACTCTTCCAAACCACAAGTCCCTTCATTACTCTTCAAACATTAAAATCGAAACTAAAAGCATAGAAATTTTTTTACTCAAATAGCCAATATATATCTACCAAAACCCATCTATATTCTTTCAATTCGAAAATTGACTGAAAATTTTTGTATAAATACACAAATAAATATATATAATTAATTGCATAAATTAATTTTATATATAATTAATACATATATAAATAAATAACTACAACATTAAAAGTACATAAATACAAATATAAAAATATATGATTATATAAATAAGTAAAAAAATTGAACAAATTAAATATATAATATGATTATGATTAAATTTCATATATAAATATAATATGTGTAAAAATTTTTAAGATTTTAAATGTTAAATAAAATTAAAAATACATGAAAATAATTTATTAGTGCCTTTAATTGTTATCTTTTTATTTTCAATTATTTTTTTTACTTACAATTTACTATCATCACTATGTTTAACAAATACATCTTTTTATTAACATTGATATTAATTTCACCATTGCAATTTCAATCTCATATTTAAGTAACTAATCTTATTGACTTTATATCATTATTTTATTCAATTTCATTATTTATCCAAATAAATGTTTATCGTTAAAATTATAAAATAATTGATATGATAAGTTAAAATTACTTTTTTGAAAGCAAAAAATGAAATAAGTTAAAGTTATAGGAATAAGTAGTACTACTTTAGAAGAGAACTAGAATTTGACCCCCACTATGCTCCTATTGATATTTTTAATCGATTATTTTATTTTTAATATATTTATTATCATTTTAATATAAAATAATAAAAAAATTTTAATAAACATAAAATATTAAAAGTTTAAGAAATGAAGTATAATATTTAATATGTTATGATTATTATTTTTTGTTATTAACTTTTCATGTTATATTGAAGTTTTGTGATTTTTGAAAATTATTTATCAATTGCATAATCTTTTTAATTTATCATATATTCTAAATTTTTTTTGTGAAAACAAAGAAAAATAAGAACAATACAAAATTTATAGTTTTTAATTATTTTTTTTTATTATACCTCACAAATATATAATAAGATTATACCTCACAAATAAAAAAAAAAATACAACATAATGATAAAAAATTATACTTATAAATAAAAAAAAATCACTTTTTGATTTTGGATTTGAGTTTTAAGCTTGTCTAAATGAGCCCCAACATTTAACTTAAAATTCATAAATGCTCAAATCACCTTTTATAAATTTAAAATTTATTATGCAGCTAACTTTAATATATGGTATATTTAAAAATTAATTGAAAATTTAATTATTAAGTGACATTTATCTCTTTATTAGAGCTCAATTGAACAATCTTTCTACTTTATCATTTGAAGATTACTTTTATATTATGAATCGATAGTTAATTTGGACTTGTTTGCGTAATTATTGATTAAAAATTAGTAGTATATACTGCCAAAAGACCATTAACAAAATTAAGAAAATGAAAAAATTGACGTGATTCAGACGCTGATAGCATTACACTTTTAATGGTCGCAAGTAAAATCATAAATAATAAATAAATAAATAAATGGCAGACAGCCACCTGTTGTATTTGGAGCAGCTTCTGTTTGTTTATTCGCCAAATTGCACTTAGATTTAGATCTATAATATCATAATCTCTCATGCCAATCTCCCTCTGCTATGACTCTACCCCAACAAAGTTTTTCCTTTTCTTCCTCATGGATTCCCCTTTCTTTCCAACAATGAAACAGTCGCCAAACCTCAAACTCCTTCTCTTCGTTCAGTAAAAATCCATTGCCACTCAAACTAAAGCCTTCAAGCACATCTTCAGACAGTGGAAACTGAAAATGAGCTGTCTTAGAATTGCTTTACTTTTATTCCTACCGGTTGTAATAAACATAAGAAGTTGATTTTTTTTTTTGTTAAAGAAGGTTTTTTGTTTTGTTTAGGAGATAAAGAGTTAGGACATAAGAAAAAATGATATCAGCAGGGATAAATTTGGTGATGACAGTAATAGGATTCACAGTAAGTATTATGTTCATAGTGTTTGTTTGTACACGTTTGGTTTGTGCTCGGATTCAGCTCAATGCTTCTCGGAGATCCTTTCCTATTGCTTCAAGATCTGATCTTAGTATAGTAAGTGTTTTTTTTTTTTTTTTTTAGTTTAGAAAAGTTGTCTGCCTTTTTGTCTTATTTCTTAAATTTCCAGAACTGGGTTCTACTCTGTTTGTGTTGGTCTTTTTAGTTTTATTACCAAATCTGTTTTTTTTTTGGGTGTTCAGCGTTACTGATGGAAAGCAATGGTTTTCTGAACACGTTTTTTCTTGATAGTTTTTTTTTTTTTTTTATTTTTCATAGCTGGGCATTTTTTTTTTTTTGTTTTTTAATATTTGGAATCAGATTATTATTGGGTATTCAGCATTCGTAGTGAAGGGATGGGTTAGTGGGTACTGAAGAGAAGTTTTTAAACCATTTTTACTAGAAATTGGGAATTGGATTTGTTCTTTTTGAAGTGGTGTTTGGTACATCCTGTTAGGATCCAGCTGCTTTCAGTATCAATTCTGTTTTTTCCCTTTCAGGAATTTTTAACTGAAATCTGCATTCAAACTTCTAAAATGGGTTCCACACAATTTTAGTTTTAGGTTTTTTTTTTTTTTGGGGGGGGGGGGGGGAGTTTACAGAAGAAACTATGAGGTTTGAGTCGCAGAATTTCTTTCTTTAAATTTCTGCCAAGTAATGTCTTTGTTGTGAAGGATTTTGGCTTTTATGCTTTAACGCCTTTGTTGATATGTTAACTAAAAATTACAAGATAAAAGAAAAGAAAGAGGAGAAAAGGTTAGTCATTTTAGGTATATCAGTGGGTATCAGTACATGACACGAACACTTTCTGTTAGAACTAACCACACGGAGAAGAAAATATAAAGTCAACATTAAATTTGAGTCATTTTCATATTTTTCCTTTTTTGGTAACCGCATTCATCCTTTATGGAGTGATCCTTATTCCTTATTGATGGTGAAGTGGTGAATTTTGGATCGTGCAGCTTGAACGGGGTTTACATGGTCTTGAGCCTGTCGTTGTTGCCAACTTTCCGACCAAGAAGTACAGTGATGAGTGCTTCTCATCTACAGAAGATGCTCAGTATGTTTTCTGAACCTTTCTTAATTTCAGAACTTACTACGTCTTGCTTTATCCCATAACATTTTACTTAGCATGTAGACAAATTTCTTTAACTTTTGTCGCGAGAAGAGTGTTAGATGCTTAGGATTTGCAGGAGAGTAACTAATTTTCAGTGTTGATTTTTCTATTCATAGTGGCACCATTTGCATCATCCCTGTGGATTTGTGAGCTTAAATTACTACTGAGTGTAATGCCTAACGAAGCAGTATGGAAAATTGAAAGATTTTGCTTTAAAGTCATGAAGCATACATCAGGTCTCAAATGTGATGACAATCTATTAGATATCTATAATGGAAGACAGAATGTAAATGGAGGAAGATGAATTGAGATGAGGGATAGCTGAAATCTTGAGTGTATATTTATAAATAATATGAATATCTAGGAAATTGTCAACATTCTCCATATTTGATACTATAATGATGCATGTTATGGTGAAATGCATTGCACAATGAAGAAAATAGATGTAATCTCAAACAGCCTGAGATGTTTAGAAATTTTAGTTTCAACTGATTCTCTGGTCTAACAAGATTTGGTCTTTTTATTATTATTATTATTATTATTATTATTATTATTAATTTGAAGTCAGGTCTAAGGAGCCTAAAGCCAGTGCTAGTTTATTTTTTCTCTAGTTATGTCTTTCTTTTAACATTTGCCTGTCTAATGGTCTTCCTTTTACCAAGCAGCATATAGATGCTGTATGGTTTGGTGGGTCTGCGTCATAGATACAAGTTGTTTCTTTTAATATATTGCTTAGTTGCTAATTTTTCTTTGTCATAGTTGGTTCTAATGTGAATGCTTATGGCAGCTTGCCAAACAGACATTAAGAGAAAAGAAGGAACATGTGTTACTGGCTTTAAACCTTCAGTCGGTTTCTAAAGTCCATAGTTGTTTGCGCAAATTTATTTATCTGGTGATCTAATTTCACTTTAGCTGTCAGTAATGTCAAGTGCATAATTCCACTGTGGACATAAAAAATGACATTTTCCTTTTGGGTTTTGTCTACCTTCAATGTGGTTTGATCTTTGATGCAGTGTCCTTAGATAATACAAAGGTTCTTGTCCGACTAAATTTCTGGAATACTTTTTTCTCATGCATAAAATTTCTCCTGTGTCAAATGTCTGAAAACCACAGAATCACTTGTCAGCCTGAACATGATATTATGTGTCTCATACATTGTACACCTGATGCACACCAGGGAAAATAATAAATAGAGATCAGGGATATAAGGAACATGAAATTTAGGGTGAAATTGAGGAAATTTGTAAAGAAAGAGAGAACCAAATGGAGAAATATCAACACTAAAAATTCAAATCTTAGTCTCAATACCCTATAACCAAAAACTAATAGTAAAACACAGATTTTTTTTTCCTGTCCTTTAATATTTACTGTTTCAAACTAATATCTCTCCTCTATGCTATGGCAAGATTTCTGAAGTTAGCTAAAGTTTTCTGTGCTTGAACCAAATCCATGTTTTTTTATTAAAATTTTTATGGCTGGTTACATGTTCTGAAGATGTAAGCATGAGCTATGGCCTGTCATTATTTGCCTCATTAACCAATTGCTGATGCCATGGCGCATTACGGTTAGAAAGAAGATTAAAGCTCATTAAGTCAAGGCCTTTTACATGTGGGCAAAAAAAAGAAAAAGGTCAAGGCCTTTTAATTTGTTGAGTCAAAAATTCTGATACATAACATTTCTTTTTTCTTAAATTTATGTGGAATGCGTAGAAAGGGAATGTTGTTGGCATCTTTTCTCAATGCTATACGCACACACAAAGTGTTAATCTTCAGCCTGCTCTTTAAATTCCCCAATGTAGAGTTTGCAAGTGCAAGTAAGACTTTAAACCCTTGCCACCGTAGAAATATGTTTGAAAAATTGGACTTACCCAGTTTTGCTGGACCTGGATTTCCTATGTTCTGTCATTTTTACTTTGTGTGCTGTAGACATGCCATATTTTCAAACTTGATTTGATCCTTCTAGCATTTTAATGACTGTAGCCGACATTGATCCTTCATTGGAAGTGTTCAACAAAAGACTAGTAGATAAAAACTTGTCAGAGGTTGTAGGCAAAAAAGAGGGAATATGCTTTCCTTGCAATTACCGGTGTAATTCTTGAGTTGCACACTTTTTTTTCCCACTGCTTGGAAAAATGTTGTTCGGATTAACCACTGAGCAAATTTTGGTTTCCATCTTTTTTGACAGCCAAACTTCTGGTTTCTTAATTGATAAATTTAGTTAAAATATGAATTTTGGCACCCTAAAGGGTAGGCAATTTTTGCATTTAATAGCCCTTTGATGTTTTAGGAAGAGCTAGCATCATTCAACAAAAGGTGAAAGGTGCAGTATAGAGCATATTCTAGAAAAACTTTTCCTTTCTTATGACACTCTTTTTATACGTAGACCTATCATTAAACAACAAATATGGTTTCAAGAATTTATGCATAACAATAAAAGCTAAGCTCACTATAGGTTGACCAAGGGCATTCTCCACTTTTAATGGATAAAAGATGCCCCCACTTGTCTTTTAAAGTGGATGTTAGTTGTTCCATAAAAATTAAAAAAAAAAAAAATAGTGGAGGATTGTTGTTTATTTATTTTGCTTCCATTAAATCTGAAATGATTGGGTAAGGAATAGAGGTGGAAATTGCGTGCAATTGGGCTATTCTGTCTACAGATTTGAGTTATTCTGAATTCGGATTAACTAAGTTTGGATTGTATCGGATTTAGATAATTTCTGGTTTGAAACATTTCAAATTTGGCCTATTTCAGGTTTAGACCATAATGGTTTTGGTCATTTTAGGTTTGGACCATTTCAGATTTGGGCCATTTCAGGTTTGGTCAATATCGGGTTTAGTTTGTTTTGGGTTTGGTCACTCTCTAGTTAAATCACAATTCGAATTTTTTGGGCTTAAAAAGCAGGGTTTTATGGGTTTTGGATTGGATTGGTCTTAGGTTTGGGTTGTTTCAGGTTTGGAATTTTTCTGGTTCTTTTTTCTTCAGATTTGGGTCCTTGACTTTTTGTAGTCAATCCGGATTGAATAGGGTTTGGTCTCGGTCAGTTTGGGCAGTTTTTTGGGTTCAGTCAGATTTTGCCTCTTCTAGTAAGGACCTGCCTCTTTGCATCTCCCATGCAATTTATCCTACCAAATCACCTCTTATGTTTTCATTTTTGTCAGGGGGAAGGGGGGGTTGGGTGGTGAGATTCATGGACAAATAATTTATTCGGTATCTACCCTGGCACCTTTTGTGTGGTTGTAACCTTCCAAAAAGAAACATCCAAATGTGTGATTTATAAGTACAGCACTAAGACTATTCCATGAATTTCATAACAAACATAGATAACTTGAAAGATAAATATCAGCCATTTCTAAGAAGCAGCCCAAGATAACCCTATATGTATTATTTTCACCATATTTGATTTCTTTATTACTTTGGTAATCAACTTCAGCTGTAAACTTTTTCTGCATGTTAGATCTGGCAGTGATACTTCATCTTTTCCTCACAGCTGGAATTTTAGTTGGTATAATTAATTGATAAGCTCTGCCCAGTATAAAGTTGGGATGTCTTTTTTTTTTTTTTGTCTAAGCTCTCTTTTGTTTGATACATAACTTACCATTGGTCCTGTGACACGATATACAACCTTTGCAACTAAAACTTAGTCTTGACCTGATTTTAAGTATATATACTAATGATGATCCGTTGCAAATAGAAGCTAATTGAAGGATTGACGGTTCAAGATTTTATTTTATAGTTTTGTTATATTTAAATTTCTAGTGGCATTTGGATGTTGGAGATACTATTGATGATATGTCCATCTTGGTTCTGTCTTTCCCTTGCATGTTCTTTCTGTTTCTGTCAGTTTACTTTGTTTCTTCCCTTCTGTCTGATTTCAATAAGTTTTCTATTTCCTCCTCTTTCCTATCCCATGCCACATGAGTGGATCTAGTGGAACATCTAATTGGTGATTTATCCAAACTCTATTTCAATCTAAAGTTAAAAAAAAAAAAAGATTTAATTCCAACAAAATCATGACTGCACTTAAATTCTTTGTTGTATGCATAGCATTGTCAAAATAACACATGCCATATTTCTGGCTTTAGGTTTTGTGTTAGGTATTGATGGAGCTTTTACTGTGTCTGCGATAAAAATGGATCTTGTCATGCCTTAAAGGTGTCTCATGAGCAAAACTTTGAATCTTATAATTGAGGAATCATTTTGCTTCATGATTCTTTTGATAATCTAACATGACGATTCCCTACTACAGATATATTTCTGTAATTCTGCAACTATCTTGTAATTTCTGTTTTTTGTAATCACTTCTTGGTTGATTTTAATATCTGCACATCTTATCTCCTCTCACTATGAATAGGTGTTTTGCTTTTAAATATTCTGAAGTTAAGGGAAGATCAGTAATTCTTATTTATTTCATCAGGACTTTGTGTTTTTAGAATTGTTTACATATTTTCTTGTCAGTAAAATTGCTTATGGTCTGTTAATTGCTATGCGTGGCAGGTGCACAGTTTGCCTTTCTGAATACCATGGTAATGATGTCTTGCGAATCCTCCCTTATTGTGGGCACTCTTTCCATGTAACATGCATAGATATGTGGCTACAACAGCATTCCACATGCCCTGTTTGCCGAATATCACTGCGTGAATTTCCTGAGAAGAAGCGCTTGATGCAACCATTGTTCAGTTCAGCCAACCGATCTCATTTTGGCATGGAGTCTTTGAATTCACATTCTTACAACTGTTTGTTGAGAGGGCAAGGCTTTCCGTCGAGAACCCATGATAACCGTGAGATGGACCGAATTCAAGAGAACTCTTTCACAACTAGGGGCATTGGACCAGAAGCAGGGGAGAACATGTCCCCAACAACTGAAGATTATCGGACCATTAAAGACTCAAGAAACAAGCATGTAGAAAGCCCTTCAAACCTTTGAATTATGTTGGTCTTTAAGAATGCGAGTTGAGTTTATTGAGATGTATTGTTTGTTGATGTATCCAGCAGAATTTGGAAGCTAAGATTCCACTAGAGCTCCTGCATGGTAATTGAATTATTTTCCATTTTGTAGCGTAGTGTAAATATGTCAAATGTTTTTTGTCTTCGTATCCTTTTCCTCCTTTCAACGGTGGCTAGTTTCTGGCGCTCTGGCAGTTTTGTTAGCTCAGTTGTAAAACTAGCATTAGTCTATATTGGTGAATGAGGTGGTTGCTCTCTCTCTCTCTCTCTCTCCCGACAAGCCTCGTTGTATTTTATATTTGTGTGCATGAATTCTTTATTTTTTTCTCCGTGCCTGCTACTCTATGTCAATTCGCATTGAGTTTGGGTTGGGTCGGATCATTTCGGGTTTGGTGCTTAGATTATTTAAGATTGCATTATTGATTTAAATTATTTTAATTTAGGTATGAATTAGAGTTTTAAAATAAAAATAAAATTAATTTTGAATAATATTGAATTAGTTTTTCAGATTGTTTGAATTTAGATAATCAAATATGTCATTAATTGGGTAAATTTGGGTTTAAATTGAATGAAATTGAGTTGATGATTTTTCTTAATTAAATTGAGTTGGATTGAGTTTGGATGTATATTTTGAATTCGAATAAACTTTATTATGTGCATTTGGTGGGTGGGTCTATGATCTTTGCTTAGATTTCAGTTTCTGCCAAAATTGCAGATTGACTATGTCATGCAAATCTTGCCCTTTGCTTTGGGCAATCTTGTCAGCTCATATTCTAGTAAGCTTCAGTTATTGCCAGATTATCTCATTTTATGGGTTTGCACGTCTATAATGCTTGCCAACTTGCCTTGCCTTTGTCAGCAAAAGTGCATAACAAAATTTGAGTTTTCTGGCCCGTCCCATATAAAGCAAAGCAAACTCTCAAGCTGATAAGCACACGTCTTTGTAATTATTAAGCTTTAAGAAACATAGATCACTATTCACATGTAAGAGGTAAAGCAAACCGTTTCTGAATAAAATTTTTAAGCCTAATAAAATGATGGCGAAAAAAGAACGAAAAAGAAACAAAAAAAAAAAAAAAGAAAGATTGGCATCAAACATGAAAGAAAAAAAAAGTTTATTTGATCACATCACCAGAAAATTTTTTTTTTTTTTTTTTAATTTTATTGTGGGGCACTAGAATCATTGGAACATGACAAGCAAGAGAATTTTCACTGTCAAGGTGTTTTGTTTTATTTTTACTTTGATTTTTTGGGGGCTCCTTGCCCACTATGCAAAATTTTGCAATGGGAAAAATTGGAAAAAAAAAAATGTTATGAAGCCTTACTTACTGTCCTTGATCTTAAATTTTTCCAAATTTTTTAGACAGACCGTTATTCTTCTATTGTATCTATTTAAGCCTTTAAAGTATTATTTTTGTTTAATTAAGTTTTTAAAGAACTATATTTGTTTAACTAAAATTTTATTTTCTAAAGAATTTTAGTGATTTTTAAATAAAATAAGAGTTTAATTAAAAAATGATGCTTTAATGGATAAATTAGATAGAATTTAATTTTTGAATCCAAATCAAATTGTCATAAAGTATTAATAGTTTATTTCTTTTTTTTTCAAAAAAAATATCAAAATAATAATTTTGTTAAATGAGAAAAGTTAAAGCTTCTAAAGAAGCTAAGAAAAAAAAACGAATTGTAAACTGGGGTGATCCACCAAGAATATTTATTGGTACTACAATCTGAAATAACTTTTGAAAAGAAAATATCAATGTTTAAAATTTATAAAGACAAAATTATAATTACTTTTATAACCCTAATGTTTAACGGTTAAATCATGATTAGCGCAATAATATATGTGCATTCGTAAAAAAAATGCACAATTACCAAATAATATATGTAATTTGTAAAAATTAAAGCTTATGTTTGTTGACGAGTAAGATAATAGAAAATATTAAAAATATTAGAATTTGTATAGTTATAAAAAAATTGTAAGGTTTTAAACAAAAGATTATGTAAATAACAAATACTAATGTACATTTCAAATTTTAGAATATCAAATTTATTATCTATATATCTATATATATATATATATTAAGCTTGTTGTACATATTTCCTGTTAAATGTACAAAAACTCTAATTTCATATGCATTTGATACCTAAATGTATATTTTTATAAAAATTTCTTATTAATTTGCTATTTGAGGATTGCTTAGATTTAGAGCTTAATGTTTAAGTATTTTATATATTTTTTTAGAATATAAAGATCATGTTGAAAATGAATTACCACACAAAACCTTTAAGTATGCACAATTACTACTAATGTATATATATATATATATATATTATAAGAAAATTGTACATATTTTTTGACTAAATGTACATATGTTTAATCTTTGTCTATATGCATGACAATCTCTGATGTACATACCTTTTAAGATAATTATACATATTTTTTATTAAATATACATATATTTTATCTTGCATTATATATATATAAATCTCATCCGATCCGATTTAATCTATAATCTATTTAATAATATAACTTTTATTAAAATATTATTTTTAATATAAATTACATCTCAATTATATATAAATATAATACTTTATTAAATAAATTTATTAAATAATAAAGTTATTAATATAATATATATAAATAATATATCTAAAGGGTTAAAAAATCCCTTAACTATAATTAAAAAATTATCCAAGCTCTTATTTTTTTTATTATAATCAATCAATCGGTTTAAAATATATTTGCATTCAATTAAAGTTTACCAACTAAGATAAAATTTCTTCTGACATTAATAAAATAGATTAAAATTTGATGTGAAAATTAATAAAATAAAATTTTTTCTTTTTCTTTTTCTTCTAAATTTTCTCTACTTCTCTTTTTAAGACCCATCTAAGGGTTCAATTGACTATAATTTAAAGGTTAGTTGATTAAATTTTACCAAGTAATTAGATTCTGTCCATTTAATGGTTTAATTGAGTCAAAATAGAATATTAAGAATTTAATTAATTATAATAAAATGTTAAAAGGCTTAAATGATTATTTGAATATAATCCAAGGACATTTTTGACCCTTTAGCCAAATATAATTAAATAGATAATAAAATATATATTCTTATATATATATATGTGTATATATATATATATATATCTCGAGATGGGTTAGGCTGAGCATCCTAAACTTGCCCTTAACCAGACCTCAATTTTGAAGAAGGAAAAATTGTCCTACCTTGAATCAATTTTAATTAAAAAAATCATCTTTATTAGATCGACGGGTCAAAATCCATCAAATACGAATTGATTGAACACTCCTACTTTCACTGATTCAATTTTTTACAAAATTCATTTTATTTAAAATAGTTAAAAAGACAAAAACATCTAAAAAAAGGCCAAATGGAGTGCCAAGTGAAAACTTCTATTGATATTTTATCTTTCAAAACATAAATAAGAAATACTAAAATAGATAATTAAAAAAAATTTTAAAACTTAAAAAAAAAATTATCTAAGTTAAAATGAAAAAAATGAGTCACATTAATGGGAAAAAGCTTAACTCTTGACTTGATTTTTTAATAATTTAACCTAACTTCAATTTTGATCCAACATCGAGTTATTATTCATTAATAACCAATCTCGTCCCCTCACATATATATACCTGTATTTGACTCAAACTGATAAAAAATTAATTTAGTAATTTTAATTTAATATAATGTTCATGAAAACATTATTTTTTTAATATAGATTATATCTTAATTATGTATAAATATAGTTTTTATTAAAAAATCAAATAAGAACTTTTTTAATATAATATATGAATAAATATAAAAATAAATAAATAATAAATATATATTTTATATATTTAGGATAGAATGAAACACCTAAACTTGCCCCCAACCAGAGCCCATTTTCAAAAAAAACTTGATCTGATCCTAGATTTAAAAAAAAATGCTTAATAGATCAAGGCGAACTGAAATCTGTTGAATATGGGTTGTTTTGTCATCCCCATCTCCATTGATTTTTTTTTATAAAATTTATTTAATTAAAAAAGTTAAAATCTAAAAAAGTTATAGGAAATGACAAAAAAGGAAAAAAAAGCCAAATGAGGTGTCACATATATATATTAAATTAAAACATTAAATAATAATTTTATTAATATAATATACAAAAATATAAATAAATAATAAAAATATTTCTTTATATATACCTGGAGTGGAATGAAACACTTTGAGTTTGTTTTCTAGCCAATCTTAATTGAAAAAAAATGTGACTTGATCTCGGATTTTAAAAAAAAATCTACATTGGATCAAGATGAATTGAAATCTATTAGATATAAGTTGTTTTGTAATCTTTAGCTCCATTACTTTTTTTGACAAAATATATATAATAAAAATAAAATAAAATAAAAAATAAACAGTAAATAAAAAGTAGATTTTGTAGAAAGGTTGGGGTTCCATGTGACTCCCCACCTTCCTCCAAAATCTATAAAATTAATATTATGGATATCATATATGCCTTCTGCAGAATGATATAACATTTAAACTCTGTGTATTATATGCACGTAAAGAAATTAGTTTATTATTTAATATACCATGGTTAGGAAGATTTTTTTTTCTTAATTTCATTTAATTGTTGTTTTATACGTTACATAAATACAACTATATCAAATATTATTAAGAGGTAGCATATACCTTTTGGAATTTAAATGTTAGCATCTTTTTAAATTGGATACATTATTATACATTAAATTAATTTAAGATATATTTGAATATGCATCCATAATATATTGATATAGTATGGTGGTTTTAACTTTATTTGTCATGGCACTCATGTCTTATAAACTTATTTATAACCTTATGGGTTTATATATATATATATATATAGCTTTGAATTGACTATGATTATGGAAGATTGCTTTTGTCACTTGAGAATTATTGATTGAGATATATTTAAAAACCTTTCTTAAGCTCGAGATATGTTTGGATAAGGATATGCTTATCATGTAAAAATATGCTTATCTATGATATAACCGGTGTCATTCATGCAAAAATTATTTGTCTTAAATTGATCATTTTTCTCTTATAAAAGAGGCAAGGGAAGTTCTAGAGTATAAATTTTGCATGAATATATATATATATATAGTGTTTATTTTTATTGAGTATTGCTAATGTGTTAATGAAATTCTTTCTTGAAAACCTTACATTCAAAGCAAATTTTATCTAAGACATGGTCATGTGACATGATTTATAAGCATTATGCATAATGTTCTTTTATCTTTTTGCTTATAAATTTCATATTATGACTTTGTTATCATTGTGCTAAAATTATTGAATTAGATAAACTTATGCGCTTGCCCTTATGATTAAAACT